GAGACTGATGAAACAATGGTCTCTTTTGATGTCACATCACTCTTTACGTGCATTCCTGTTGATGATGCAGTAGAGGTGGTCAGTTTAAGATTAAAATCAGACACCACTCTGAGTCTTTGTTGCCTTGTTTTGTTTTTTGATTGTTTTTTTTTGAATGTCCAGAGAACCAGATTGAATTTTTTTGGATTTTTCTACCTGGATTATTGAGCATGCATCAGCACACTCCATACCAGTTAGTGGCGGTATGGAACACCCTCATTGTTTTTGCCAACGGCCAAAAAACTCAAGAAGAAGAAATAGAAGCGACGTCACTTTTGATTACTTCCGCTAATCAGGGGTCATCATCATGTCTGCGGTGTTGTGTTTCTAATTGTCCTGCCTCATTGTCGATCAGCGCTACAAGTTAAAAATTTTAACTAAGAGTTGAGTTCATCGAATAATAAAATACTTCTGGCTGTTCACACCTTCCCACGAAGACATGTTTCACGTATTCAGCGGGAGGAGCGTCCAGGCGTGTCGGCTCCTCGCGCCGAGGAGCGTCGTGCTCGTGGAGGCTGTTCGGGGCCGTAAGTCCCGAACCGATCCGGTAGCCAAGTCCAAAGAGGGGCGAATTAAAATGCCTCCCCCCGTGGATCCGGTGGAGATGGTCGTCCTTAACGAGAGATACACGGAGTACAAGCTGATCCTGAGGGCGCTTCGGTAGGTCGGAACAGGTCCAAACATGTCGTCTTTGGGCAATCCAGATTGGTCATGTAAAATATCAGTACTGAGTCTGTAGAAAGCTTCGAAATGTCTTACGGTTTCCAGAGCACTGTTTAAATTAAGCTGTTTTAATTACTGTGACGAACTTTCGACCCGTCTAGCGTGTCCCCCACCTCTCCGCACAGTGATGGCTGGACATGGGCACGAGCGACCCAAAAAGGAAGAAGCGGGTAAAGATAAAGGATAGATGTTTTAAATTAACTCCAAACTTACAATACTTTATTTAATTTAATTCATAAATTATAAAGTAAAACATATAAAACTGAATTATATCATGGTGCAGTTCAAAAGGGTTTTTCATATATGCCATTCTGAAGCGTGGGTCCACGCTCAATGTAAACAAAACACAGCTAAATCCACCAGAAGCTAACTTTACTAAACAAATGAACGTAAATATATTGGTACATGTTAGTGCGTCAATATTGTTGGACTTAACCTCAAACAGCTCTTTCAGGGATGTTGCCATTACTGATCTATTTTCAGTCACTTTGGCTATTTCCCTATAAACAAATGCAGAGGATAGCTGGTTGCTATTTTCAAATTTAGCATAAACATTTTTATTTTAGGAACACAATAGCCATAAAAGAAAAAATAGTTTACAATTTGACCAGTCGTCATGACACTGTAAAGAGTACCATTATGTGTTACAGCCAAAATATTCTGGAGCAAATCTGCCAAGAAAATGGACCTTCAACATCCAACGGAAAACTTAACAATGAGAAGCAAATCAAGGTTCTTTATTGTCATTTTCATCATATGTGGTAATGTTCAGTCAGATCATCTGGACCGTTTCTTCTTCTTTCTTTTTTTTTTGCTGAGACATTTCATCCTTCATGCAAAGGACTTCCAACAAACGAAGTCCCACAAGCAGCATAGTGGATAATAACAGTTTGCAAAATGGCCTCCGGGGCCTGCCCTCTCCCCCATCAACTCTTCTTAGGTAGCCATAGACACCAAAGTTTATGCCCAATAGGCCAGGTAAAAATCCAACAATGTTCATTCAGGTCATCTGCACGGTTTCTTTTTTTGTTTTTTTCACATGTGGTACATGAGGTGGAATGAAATTGTCTACTCAAGGTCCAGTTACACTCAAAAAAAGCAAAAATATATAAAGTATAAATAAAAAATAACCAGTACATAAGTATCTAAGATGCATAATATAAATAAGGTGTATTAAACAGAAACCTGAACAATAGATGGTTATGAATAGAGCAGCTATGGGTAAGAAATCAGCAGCACAGATAAAGTGTCAAATTTCCAGTTAAAGTGGCATTACATTGATTATTTTTCTGGTTAGAGATTCATGAGTCTTAACAGCTTCAGGGTAGAAGCTGTTCCTCAGTTTAGTGGTTCTACATTTAATGCTTCACAACCTCCTGCCTGAGGGGAGCAGAACAAAAAGTGTGTGTGCTGGGTGAGTGGGGTCCTTCATGATGCAGGTGGTTCTCTTCCTGCATCTGGAGGTGTTGATGTCTGTGATGGTGGGGAGGCTGACTCCAACCTCTGTGCAGCCTTCACCACCCTCAGCCAATGCATCAGCATGACAAAGATGAAGATATTATCAAACAGCTGTAGCAGCCACATGTCTCATCATTAAAGTGCTTGTGACATGCAGACCTCTCAAAGGGGAACTCTTTAAAAAGGAGAACTCTTGGTCTTTGTTCATTGAAACAGTCTTATTTGAACTCTGACTCTTCTTCGTCACTCTAACCCTCAGTCTGAAAATAATCTAAAGAAACATCATATTTGTCTCTACTGTCTGTGTTGTTAGCCAATGAAACCTATCTCTTCTCCCTGGCCTTTGGCCTGTAATGTTGACTTTTAATTATTTTAATAATTTTATGTTCGATTGTTTTATGTGTGCAGTACTTTGTCCTGTGGGTGTTTAAAGTGCTCTATGAATAAAGCTGCTATGGTTTTATAGTAAAGCTCTCTTGACATGCAGCTGTTTCCATTTGTCATCACTTCCTGTTACTGCATATTCAATTCAATAATACTTTATTAATCCCAAAGGGAAATTATTTTGTTGTTGTAACTCGTTATCCTCATTTCATTAAGAGATGTTAAAAATGCTGATCGCTGTAGACAGGAAGGATCTCCTGTAAAGGTCCATCCCACAGTGGATCCTAAGAAACTGGCTGCAGATGCCGTCCGATCCGTCCACCCAGACTCGGCTGGCCTCTCGGTTCCCCTGGACTGTAGGACCACCTGAATGCCAGGCAGAACTCCTCCCAGAGCGATGGCCACTCCTCCCAGCAGTCTGCCGAGCTCCTCATAGCTGCGGACAGACAACTGTAGGTGCTGAGGGACGATCCTGTCCTTCCGCTGTCATGAGCCGTGTTTCCTGTTAGTTCCAGGATCTCAGTGGTCAGGCACTCTAGCACAGCTGGCAGGTAGATGAGAATGCGTCCACATAACATCCTTTTCAACTCATTTGAGAGTTGGGACCATAGTTGAGATATTATTTGAGCTTTTGAGATGTTAATCAGCTGCTGTTGTAGAAAACTGCCTTGTTGCCATGGTTACGCATCATAACAAATGTCCAAAGCTAAAAAGGTTTCAGTAAAAATCCTTCCAGCTGCACAGCATCTGATACCAGAGGAAACAATAATCCAAAAAATATGATTTACATCCAGAAAACCAGGAATTAAAGTTTCCAAAAGCAAAATCTCAGAATGAAAGCAACAGAGCTGCTCCAACATGCAGCCACTTTGAGCGGCGCAATTCTAGAATTTTATGCACATATATGCACATATATGTTAATATGCACGTATCTCAACAACTGTCCATCTTAGCAGCATATATTTTTTGCAATATGTTTTTATTATCTTTCTAAAAATGCATGTGTTGCATAACCTACTTATCACCCCTATTCAATGTCAAAGTCACAAATCAAGGTCAAATGTTCTACAAGGTCTTCGGGCCGTTGCTATAAGTTGCCGTCTTGCTGTATAATAGTTTGTCAACGAATGTTTAATGTGCTGTATGCTGTACTCTTGTTTTTGAATATAGCGTAATGGAAAAATGAAATATAACTCAATCCAATTCAGCATTCTGATTAACTGATACAAGAAAATGAACATTTTATACAGGAAATGTGTTTGAACTGTTCAATTTTTTCTTTGTTTGTTAGTCTTGAGTTTAAACAGGAGTTGCTGCGAAAAAAGTACGAGGAGAAGACGGGCTCCCAGGCAGAGGAGAAGGCCAAGCAGGAGTCCGAGGAGCATTGCACCCTGATGGCCTGGAACAATCAGGAAAACCTTCGCCTTCTTAAAGCCAGGTGCCAGTCTATCAATGAAAAAGACTTTGAAGGATTCTAGGCTCAGATTTGATGTTTCTAATCTCTCATTTCCAGTGGTGTGAAAAAATAAAGAGAATTGAACTCTTTCTTATCAAAATAAATTTCCAGATGTCTAGAATGTAGGTATTAGTCACAATTTGCTGGTGAAAATTCTCAGTCATCCAGGACATGATGAATTCAAAAAACATTCAATACAACAACATCTGGACTTTATTTGTAACAGAAGACGTTTCGCTCCTCATTCAATTAGTCATAATTGTACTGAACTTATTTTGTGCTAAAATCATCTTCATTACCACAGACTACCTTATAAATATTAGTAATTATGAGTTACAGATCATTATTTAAATTACTTACACTCATTTTTAACTACTTGTAATATGAATACTGGATTTTCTTCATGACATTTGAAAGGGTTAAAGGTTTATGGGGGATGCTAAAAAAAAATAATTGGAGATTCCTGGAATTATTTTTCATGTTGGATATCTAAAATGCAATTTACAACTCTCAACAGTAACAATAATTATTTATATTCATTTTAGGTGTTCAGAAAGAATATATTTCACAGTCAAAGTTTTTTTTATGTGTCATTCGCACCACATGTGATAAGTGTGGTGAAACGAAATTGTGTACACAGGGTCCCAATTGCGTCCAACAAAATTATAAAATGTAAAGAAAAACAGTAATAAGATCTAAGATATGAACTAAGAATACATTAAGCACTAGTAGTACAAAAACAATACGCTGAACAATAGCAGCACAAACGTGTGTGAGCAGATGAGCACGAATAAACAGCAGCGTGAAATAAATCAGCAGCATAAGGTCAGCAACATGGATAGTCAGCAGCACATATGAACAATCAAGTGTCATTACAGTGATTTTATTTTTTTTTTTCCACTGATAATCCTGATTAGGGATTTATGAGTCGTAACAGCTTCAAGTTAGAAGCTGTTCCTCAGTCTAGTGGTTCTACACTTAATGCTCCTCTACCTTCTTCCTGAGGGGAGCGGGTCAAAAAGTGTTTGTTCTGGGTGAGTGAGGTCCTTCATGATGCAGGTGGCCCTCTTCCTGCATCTGGAGGTGTAAATGTCTGTGATGGTGGGGAGTCTGACTCCAACATCTTTTGTGCAGCCTTCACCACTCTCTGCAAAGTTTTTCTTTCTGCAGCTGTGCAGCCTCCATGCCACACGTTGATGCTGGAGCACAGGACGCTCTCTCCACTGCACACCTGTAGAAGGAGGTGAGGACTGAGCTTCCCAGACGAGCTCGTCTCAGCTGCCTGAGGAAGTAGAGTCTCTAGCTATGTTTACATGCGCAGAATTCTTTGACCGGATTGAAATGTGTTCTGTTTGAATAATTCAAATGTGTTGTTTACATGGGCACAATCTGTTCATGATGAGCGTTTACATGCAGCGGGCTTTGTTCTGAACAGCAGTACTGACATGCGCAGAGTGGTAAACTCTCCTTAAAAAAACCACCGAAGAAGAAGTTCTACTTCCGGGTGAACGTAAACAAACCTGAGCACTCAAAATGGACCCGCGACAGGTTTTAATGATGGTGGAGACGTTATTGCACTCCCTGACTGAGCTACAGGTAATAGAAATCATTTTGAGCTCTTTAAAAGTTTCTAGTAGAAATGTTGTGTCGCTCACCGACCAGTTTTACTTCCCTGACATGCTAATATTATTAGCGTTAGCCAGGCGGAAATGGCAAAGTCGCACATGCGCAGTCAGGTCAGTTTTTCACCATCAGATAAAAACGAACAGATCAAGCGTTTACATGCGCACCGATCGGGTTTCGGATCGGCGTAAACCACCCGTTTCGTTCTGATCACAAATTATAACGGATCGCGCTGAATACACAAAAAATAACCCGAACGGAGTGTTTACATGACACACTTTTATTCCGACAGGCCATTTGATCCGGTTACTTATGTCCATGTAAACATACCCATTGATGAGCTTTCTTGATCAGGCTGGTGGTGGTGTTGCCCCAGCTGAGGTTGTTGTTCAGGTGTACACCTAAATACTTGTAGCTGGAGACACTTCCACCGCAGATCCTCCTATGTTCAGGGGGAGTAGGTGTTTTTGTTCTGTCTGAAGTCCACAACCATGTCCTTCATCTTCTTCACATTGATGTGAAGGTTGTTCCTGCACCAGCTCTCCAGGTGTTCCACCTCCTGCCTATAGCTGGACTCATCGTTGTTTGTGATGCATCTAATCACCGCTTTATTGTTTGCAAACTTTACAGTATGACAGCCTGGATGGGTAGGTGCGCAGTCACACGTGAGCAGAGTGAACAGGAGAGGGCTCAGCACACAGCCCTGAGGGGAGCCAGCGCTGAAGGTTACAGTGGAGAAGGAGAAGTTGTGGATTATCACGGACTTCGGTCTGTTTATTAAGAAGTCTAGGATCCAGTTGCAAAAAGAGCTTAGTCCTAGTGTGAGTATTTGTCCATCAGGGTTTGGGGGATCATGGTGTTGAAGGCAGATGTGAAGTTCACAAAGAGCATAAGGACATAGGAGTCCTTCTCCAGGTGGGTGAGAGCAGTGTGGACAATAGAGAAGATGGCATCTACTGTTGATCGATTTTTGCAGAATGCGTACTGGTGAGGGTCCTCTCTGATGTTGATGGTTGTTTTGATGTGGATCATGACCATTCTTTCGAAGCATTTAGCGTCTATCGTGGTGAGGGCTACTGGCTGATAGTTATTCAGACCAGTCACTGTAGAGCTCTTTGGGACTGGAATGATGGTGGCGGTCCTCAGGTAGGTGGGAACTGTTGCCAGGGTGAGGGAGGAGTTAAAGATGTCGGCCAGCACATCGCAGAGCTGATTGGCACAGTCTTTCAGCACCTTCCCGGGGATGTTGTATGGGCCAGTTGCTTTGTGAGGATTAATCCTCCTGAAAGTACTCCTCACTTCAGCTGAGGTCATGCTGAGCGACTTCTTCTGGTTTTGAAGTGAGTCTGGTGCTGGGTCAGCTGTTCAGGTCTTCAAAGCATGTGTACAACTTGTTGAGGGCATCAGGCAGTGATGAGTCCCTAGGGCATTGTGCACCTTTGCCTTTATAATCTGTTATACATTTAATGCCCCTCCACATGCTCCGTAGGTCTTGCGAGCTGAATTGACCCTGGATCCTTTGTGCATATGTGGCTTTGGCCCTCTTAATACCAGCAACCAGCTCTTTTCTTGTCTTTCTCAGCTCATGTGAGTTGCCAGACCTGAAAGCAGTGTCCCTGGCTACCAGCAGGTTGCAAACCTCTGCATTCAGCCAAGGCTTCCTGTTCGGGTTGCTTTTAACATATCTGATGGTTATGATGTCATCAGCACATTTGCTAATGTATCCCATGATTGAGGATGTGTATTCTTCCAGGACTAGCTCCCCATCATTTACAGCAGCTTCTCTGAAGACCTGTCAGTCTGTGCATGCAAAACAGTCTTTCAGTATGGAATCACTATTTTTCTCTCAACTTTTGACTTTCCTTTGTATCGGTCTGGAACGTCTCACCGGGGGGAGGTAAGCAGGGGCCAGAAAGATGGAGATATGGTCAGAAAGTCCATGGTCGGGCAGTCTGTGTGTGCCTGTTTAGGTCTCGGTTTGGTTTTTAGGTGGTCCCCTCTCAGATCAATTCAAGTAGACCCCAGTTAATGTGGTGTCTACTTCCCCCTGTCGCGCTCCCCTCCGATGGTAGGCTCCCCTGCCGCCGGTGCATTGGCAGCTCTCGGCGTCTGGGGCTGGGTGGGGGGGTGGCTGCCTGCCGAGGTCTGGGTGCTCTGGTTCTGTTGGGCCTCTGTCCTATCTCCTTACAGTGCCTTGCGAAAGTATTCAGCCCCCTTGAACTTTTCAACCTTTTGCCACATTTCAGGCTTCAAACATAAAGATATAAAATTTAATTTTTTTGTGAAGAATCAACAAGTGGGACAAAATTGTGAAGTGGAATGAAATTTATTGGATGTGTCAAACTTTTTTAACAAATAAAAAACTGAAAAGTGGGGCGTGCAATATTATTCGGCCCCCTTGCGTTAATACTTTGTAGCGCCGCCTTTTGCTGCAATTACAGCTGGAAGTCGCTTGGAGTATGTCTCTATCAGTTTTGCACATGGAGAGATTGAAATTCTTGCCCATTCTTCTTGCAAAACAGCTCGAGCTCAGTGAGGTTGGATGGAGAGCGTTTGTGAACAGCAGTCTCCAGCTCTTTTCACAGATTCTCGATTGGATTCAGGTCTGGACTTTGACTTGGCCATTCCAACACCTGGATATGTTTATTTGTGAACCATTCCATTGTAGATTTGGCTTTATGTTTTGGATCATTGTCTTGTTGGAAGATAAATCTCCGTCCCAGTTTCAGGTCTCTTGCAGACTCAAACAGGTTTTCTTCCAGAACGGTCCTGTATTTGGCCCCATCCATCTTCCCATCAAATCTGACCATCTTCCCTGTCCCTGCTGACGAAAAGCAGCCCCAAACCATGATGCTGCCACCACCTTGTTTGACAGTGGGGATGGTGTGTTCAGGGTGATGAGCTGTGTTGCTTTTACGCCAAACATATTAATTTTTCATTGTGGTCAAACAGTTTGATTTTGGTTTCATCTGACCAGAGCACCTTCTTCCACGTTTGGTGCATCTCCCAGGTGCTTGTGGCAAACTTTAAACAACACTTTCTATGGATATCTTTGAGAAATGGCTTTCTTCTTGCCACTCTTCCATAAAGGCCAGATTTGTGCAGTGTACGACTGATTGTTGTCCTATAGACAGACTCTCCCACCTCAGCTGTTGATCTCTGAAGTTCGTCCAGAGTGATCATGGGTAGGGATGCACCGATCCACTTTTTTTACTTCCGATCCCGATACCTAAATCTAAATATCGACCGATACCGATCCAGTTCCCATATCATCATCATCATTGATTTTATATGAGGCTGTAATAATCTCCTCTCAAGTACAATTTGTACAAATATATGCATGTATGTCCAAAAAGGCA